CTGCAGTGGCCCGGTCCTGCAGATTTGCCTTATACAACATTAGGAAGATTAGACCCTTCTATCAGAGCAGACCGCACAACTCCTTGTCCAAGCTCTTGTTCTCTCCAGACTGGACTATTGTAATGCTCTCTTTGCGGCCTTCCTGCATGTACTATCAAGCCTCTGCAACTGATCCAGAATGCAGCAGCAAGAGTGGTCTTCAACGAGCCGAAGAGTGCTCACGTCACACTTCTCTTCATCAGCTTGCACTGGCTGCCAATAGCCGCTCACATCAAATTTAAGGTACTGATGCTTGCCTACAAGACAACCACTGGCACTGCACCAATATACCTAAACATGCTAGTTCAGACCTACGCGCCCTCCAGAACCTTGCTTTCTGCAAGTGAACGACGCCTCGTGGTGCCATCACAAAGAGGCACAAAATCACTCTCACTGACCTTTTCCTGGACTGTTCCCAGCTGGTGGAACAACCTGCCTATCTCAATCCGAGCAGCTGAATCTTTAGCCATTTTCAAAAAACTTCTAAATACACGTTTAAGACACATGCTTGATGCTGGAGCTAAACTCTGCAGGGACACCAGACCTCCAGGATCGAGTTTGCCCATGCCTGAAATAGCCCCCCATCACAGACCATTCTAGAGATTTGCGTTTGAGGGGTGGCTTATCAATATACAGTCCTGCCTTTCAGATTGTCTCTGGCTCCATTTATTTTTTACGAAGTGCGTGGCTGTGGCTCTTTCCCCTCTGAGACAGATGGGAATCTGCATTATGAATTACCTTGATAATTGGCTTGTGTTAGCCAGATCGGATCAGGAAATTCCTGCTCACACTGCTGCTTAGTCACCTAGTGTGCTTTGGGCTCAAAATGTATTTAGCCAAGTGCATTCTGTCTCCCAGCCAGGGGGAGACAGTTATCGATTCGGCCCAGATGCAGACCTAACGGCGTTGTTCACATTGGGGACTTCTCACCCCTTCAAAGTTTCCCAGAGTATGCTCAGCCTCATGTCGGCTGCCTCCTCTGTGATTCCTCTGGGTCTGCTTCACATGGCTTCACATGCGGCCCCTCCAATTCTGGCTCAATGCCCATGTACCATCCCACACTTGGCGCCTGGGATGCCTTCACTTTAAGGTGACCCACCGCTGCATCAGAGCTGTGGCTCCTTGGAAGACTACACTAGACACTAGACTACACCCCCAAGTGGTTCAGAAAATATGGTCTGTCTACGGGAGTGCAGAGGTAGACCTGCTCGCCTCAGAAGACTCTCACTGCCCAACTTACTTCTCAAAGGAACGCTTGTCTGCATGCCTTCCCTCTGATTGCCCTGCTCCCTCAGATGTCCTCTCCCAAGCAAGAGGCTTGATTTGGCAGCCCTGGCCCGAGCTGTGGAGCCTTCATGTTTGGTTCCTACATATGGTGTCTTGACAGCTCCACATGAGGATAACTAACACCATTTTGGAGGCTAGAGCCCCGTCTATGAGACACCTCTATGCCCTTACATGGTCTGTGTTCTCTGACTGGTGTGCAGTCCAAAATGAGGACCCGTCCTCATGTGACGTGTCATCCATTCTAACCTTTTTGCGAGAGCTGCTGGATAAGGGGCACACCTCTTCCTTGCTCAAAGTATATGTGGCAGCTATTGCAGCAAATCACACTCTTGTGGCTGGCCAGTCAGTCAGCAATAATGACCTTGTTGTTAAGTTCCCGAGGGGAGCTCGGAGATTGAATCTGCCTCATCCTCATACTGTGCTGACCCGGGACTTATCCACAGTCCTCAGGGCCCTTCGAGGTCCTCCCTTTGAGCCGCTCCAGTCGGCCGACTTACAGCCTCTGTCGCTTAAGACCGCCCTCTTATTGGCTTTAGCATTAGTCAAGCGAGTGAGCGATCTGCAAGCACTTTCACTCAGCGCTTCTTGTCTTGATTGGGCTTAATGACTTTAAAGTCATCCTCAAACCAACACACGGCTATATGCTCAAGATACTCTTCACTCCTTTCAGAGCACAGGTTATCACTCTTCGGGATCTTCCTAAATCAGAAGATGAGCAGGGACCTAATGCACTCTGCCTGGTTAGGGCTCTTAAAGTTTACGTAGAGTGCTCTAGCCACTTTAGGCAATCAGAGCAGCACTCCAGAGGAGTCTCGATCAGAGATATCTGTGTGGCAGCCGGCTGGTCTTCACTCTCTACCTTCCCTAGGTTTTATAACTTGGATGTCCTTGCCCTTCAGACATGGATCTTGTCTGCCTGATCACCTTGATCCCCTATATGATTGGAAAAGGTCTTTGTTATGTAGACCCTGGGTGTTCTCGGGCTGGGCTTGCAGAGTGGCTTTTTTTTTGCTTTTGTTCTTGTTCAACGCTTATTTATAGCACGGCGCTATTGGACTCATTCTCCATAAGCGTGTTTATGCAAATTGAGAGACCATTTTCGAAAGGGAACGCTCCAGTTACTAACGTAACCTCGGATACCTGAGATAACAGGAACAAGTGTTGCGTAGACTGCCGCACTATACTGCTGCACATGAGTCGATGACTGTTGCTATCAGTCGAAAGATTCTGTTGAAACTGCATTCAGTGCTGACAGTAAGCAATTGACTCCACCTGTTTTGGCGGGCTGAAATGCCATATGTTTGTGCAGCTACACAAACGTGAGCAAATTAGGCTTCAGCATTCAGAGTTACAGGAGTTTCCCCATAAACGTGTTTATGCAACGCTCATTCCTATTATCTCAGGGAACCGAGGTTACATTAGTAACCGGATGGGTTACTGTCTCACGGAATCTGCTGTATGTTCTGTAAACGGTGATGAATTCTGATCTTCTTTACTGTCTGTTGAAGTGTTTTGGTTTGGCAGAGTCAGATGAAGGTTTGTGTTCTCATCATCAACACAGGTCTTGTTGTTTGGCTGTGAATCTGTGATATGTGTGAAAGGGTAAGATGATAACCTCCATTTGATCTGGTATTTGCTGCGCTGGAGCCAAACTGCTGTCTCACTTCAACAGATGCAGTCTTCAGATGATTAATGCTCAGCCTCAGGCCAAGATTAACATGCTGAAATATCATCACATCGCCACAATCACGCCACACGCTTCCCTAAAACCATACACGTTCATTTCATTCATTGAGCAGTGCTGTGGGCCATTGAGATCTCCTCAGTGTCTCAGTGGTTTCTCCATTAATGTTAATGGAGAGCAAATTTATCTCCTGCTCCTCAGACGTTTCTCCTCTGTATTCTCACATGGTCTGCAATCAGACGATCTCAGTGTAAACATTTCTCATCAAGTTGTTCTTGCTGCTTTCCAAATTTATTTCATACAGTGAAAAAAACTACTGGTGTAGGATTTACTTGAAATTACTTTCACTCAGAAATTGCTAGTAAACTTCACAAACAATTATAGAGAAACAGCAGGTAGCACACTGAAATATAAGATTTGGAAGCAGAAAGACTGAGATAGTATTATCTTGTAAAATATACTGTAACGATCTAGTTTTTATTTATTTATTTCATCTTTTTTTACAGCTCTAGGTCCAAAAATAAAACTTTATCAGGTGTCTTTAGCAAAGACCAACCACTGAGAAATTAAAATGAGATATGTTTGGTTTGGTTTTCTTGTTTTAAGCATAAATCTAACTGTTTTGTTTCACTGTTAAACTGTTGAGTTTTGCTTAAAACAAGAAAAAAAAAGACTGTTTTAAAAAGGGGAAGAAATGCAATTCAGGATAATCTCTGAAAAGCAGCCTCATTGTCTCCTGGTGTTGCTTCTGCTCTGGATTTGATGAGATTTATTGAAATGAAGGAGCAGATGAGGAGGTGTCAGAGAGCAGGAGGAGGAGGAGGAGACATGGGAAGGTGCTCATCCTTCATATTCCATCGGCTGTGGTCAGTGGAAGAGTGTCTGCTTCTACCTGTGTGGGAGATAGACCATCCACGCTCCTCATTCACGTCTGCATTCGCAAAGAATGGCCGTAATTATTGCACACACTGACGAGGATCATCAACGCATGGAGAAGTAAGAGGCTGTTTGAAGAAGTGCTTTACCCCACACTGAAGGTAGAATTTTATTATGCTTTTACACTTTTTATGGCATGATTGCTATTTGGACAGATAGTTCAGATCTCAGAAACTCAACAGTTGCTGCTTTTCAGAGAGTCAGGTTTTGTGCTCTTGTTTGGGCTGCAGTTGAGTTTGTCATAGAAATTAGATTCTGTACTAACTCTATGATTATTGTGGTTTTCTTTTTTCATTTCAATATTTGCAGCTTAATTGTGGTCAGATTAATTTAATATTTTGTTGAATTTATTCTATACACTGGGAAAAAAAAATGTGGTGAAAAAAATGTCTCCTAGAAACTGCAAGTAAATTTCACAGATAATTACAATGTAACAAGTGAAGCATTTAATTAAATGTTAAATCTGTGAAGTAGAAAGACTCAAATAATATTTTCTCTGTACTACAATCATCTTTATTTTATTTGGAACTTTAAAAAAAAAATGTTTTACTGTGTATATATATCAGTTAATTCAACCACACTTTGGTCTTTATTTAGCAATAAAACATCAATAAAAATAAAACACTGTTAAAGAAAGAGAAATAATTGGTGTATGTTTTACAAGAAAATACTGTTTCACTCTTTTTACTTCCAAAATTCATGTTCAGTTCATGCCATTTGTGAAATTTACTAGCAATTTTTCATAAAAAAAACAAAAACATTTTTGTCAGTGTATGAACATTATTTGTAAACAGTACAACTGTAAGGAGATATATTTTAAAATGATTTTCATTAGTTGAAGAATTTATTTGGTGATTAAATGTTTTGATTTGAGTAAAACAGTTCATTTAGATACCTGTGGCATTTGCTAGAAGGGTTTTGGCTGTTCCAAAATATTTATAACATGTTTATTACAACATAATAACACGTTTATTACAACATAATGACTATTTTGAAGTGCTTTCTCTTCGAATGGCTCTACATGTGCTGTATTTGCGGACTGTGGAATAGATCGGTCTAGTTCAGACTCTTAGCGAGCTCTGTCGGATCTGGATCTCTGATCAACATGGCTGATTTGCTCCTCCCTCCGTCTCTCTCCTCCTCGCGTCCATCTCTGTTCTCCTCATCCCGTCAGAGAGGCTTCTGCGTCTGAGCCGCTCTCTCGTCCTCCACGGCCCGCCGGCGACCCATGCTAAGAGGCAGACTCCCGGTCACACACATGTCCTCGGCCATCGCCCCCGTCAAACCCTCCGGCACCGCCGGCCCCAAAGAGGTGGAGCTGATCCTGGTGAAGGAGCAGAATGGGGTGCAGTTCACCTCCTCGGCTCTGGTCAGTCCCAGCGGTCAGACGCACCCCTCCGGAGAGGAGCGCGAGACCTGGGGCAAGAAGATCGACTTCCTCCTGTCCGTCATCGGCTTCGCCGTGGACCTCGCCAACGTCTGGAGGTTCCCTTACCTGTGCTACAAAAACGGTGGAGGTGAGAGACGAACAAGTCTGAGACGTGCTTCACAAAGCCATGTGGATGAGATTGATTAAACTTTTGCAGGAATATAGATTTTCTGTGGAAATCGGCCATTTACAGCTAAATTAAACGGTCTGAGAAATCAAGAGAGATGTTGATTTAAAATGTAAAATCTTAACGACATAGAGCCTGTAAAACCTTGATGAACCAATATTGTGAACTCAATGTACATCACCAGTTTGGACCAGGGTTATTATATTTAACTATAATAATAATAATAATAAATTTAAAAAGCTTTTTAAAAATTAACTGATTTTTTTTCTTAATTTTAGTTAGTTTAGTTCACATTTTCATTTAGTTTAACTTGATATACTAAAATAACAAAAATTAAAATGTATAAAAACTATATAGACAAATAAATTTAAATTTAAATTTAAAAATATGAATAAAAACTATAACAGTATCTTAATGATACTAAAATAACACTAAACTATTTGCCATACTTTACATCTTGATTACTTTATCTAAAACGTTTTTGCTTTTGCTTAAATGTTTAAAATGAGTTTTGTAGACATTTTGGTTATTATTATTATTATTATATATATTTTTTTTTAACTAAAGTTTGTTATTATATTATATTATATCATATTGCAAAACTAACATTTTAGTTGTTAATTTGATTATTTTTACTGAGTTGTAACAGTTCGAGAAGAAAGCAGTGCTCCTCTGTTCAGAGTGAATCTAGACAAAGAAGAAGCTCAAATAAAAGCGAGTTTTCATTTGTCGTCATGACATGATTCCCAGATTTCCACTGGTGTTATTTCAGAGTTTTCAGCATCACACTCTTACTCTAACATTTATATCTGAGTATGCTTGTGCTCTGTAATGGTGCGGTTGTGTCAGGTGCGTTCCTGGTCCCGTACCTCTTCTTCATGGTGATCGCTGGGATGCCGCTCTTCTATATGGAGCTAGCTCTGGGTCAGTACAACCGTGAAGGAGCAGCAGGAGTCTGGAAGATCTGCCCCATCTTTAAAGGTACGTGACCTTCAGAAAGTTTCCCTTAGTGTGTGATTGACTATGACCCTCTGGCCTGTGTGAGTCTAAAGGTGACAGTGCTGTTATGATCAGATGTGCACTGGCTCTCGAGGCAGAAGGTGTTTGTGTTCCCGAAACAAACTCATCACGGCAAACGGCGGACAGGTGCTGTTTATCTCCAGCTCAAATCATCTGCAGTCAAATGGAAGACAGAAAAATGGGCTTTTAGTATGAAATTTGCCTGCCAGGCCTCAGTTGTTGGTGGGCCACACATTTTGTGTCACTTCACTGGTATCGCATCATGACACCAGCATACAGAAGATACCGAAGCACCGTGACCGTAAGTTCTTCACTGCTCCTCAATAAACAAGACAACAAAACAATATCTTTACATATCTTAAACTCATTTTATTTCACCTAAGCAGCATTTCTCAGTTCCATTTAGTCTAACTTGCTGTACTAAAATAAATAAAACTAAAATATAATTAATAAGAACTACATATACATTTAAAAAAATGAATAAAAATGACAAAAATACTAAAGATTTAACTAAAATTCAAAATATTAATACAAACTATACTAGTATGAATTATAATAAAATATCACTGGTTTTGGACATATTTGGACACATTTAATCTTGATCAACTTTTTGATCTAAAGGCTTTAGCATAACATAATTTAGCAACACAATTTATTTACAAAACTAACACTTTAGTTGGATTTTTTTATATTTTTTATGTGGTATAGCAGATTAAATATGCACAATAAAAAAAGGCTTTCTGATGTGGTAGGAGAAGTGCTTTAAAGAAACCAATGTGCTGATCTGAAGAAGAGAATTGGGACTTTCTTGTTCTCCAAATAATCACACCCGCTAGTTTTTTGGATATATCAGCTGTTCTGGTGCTGGTTTGTTAGAATTGTTGATGCATGTTGGATTTTAAGTGATATCAGTCCATCACCGTGAATGCTCTTCAGCTGAATCTGTATATTTCTAAACCTGGTGTAGAGCCGTATTTGTGAACACTCTTCAGGGCTGACAAAGCATCATCTGTTTCCTAAAAAAACGCCTGTTTTGTGTGTCCATAACGGCTGTCAAGCGTCTCGCGGAGAGAGAGAGACGGAGACGGACATTTTAATCACAAGCTTGGCTCTCTGTGAGCCTGACGCTCGAGGAGAGATTACTGTAATTAGCGCTGATCAACATGTTTGCTTCCTCAGGATCGATGGCCTGTGCGAGCCGGGAATCACACATGTGCTGCTGATGTGTGACGGGAGAATCCTGCTGTTTGCTTTCAGACAAAGAGCTCCGTTAGACGAGCCACGGGGGGTTTATGAAAACTAACTCTGAAAACTCAGACTAGCTCTGATTGTGGTTCACCGGCTGTGAGTCTTTCTGTTATTTTGATTGACTGACGTGCTGCAGGAACTTCAGGAGTAAAGACTGCAGTGAATACTGCATTTCTGGCATTTACACAAACAGTAGCAAAAACTTAATGTAAGGAGAAAACGTTGGTCAGTAGGTCAAAATGAAAAAAAAAAAGAAGAAGAATATTATATGAGCTAATGAGTGAAATGCAACGAGCGAAATCTATTTTATATGTGGTTTGCTTTATCTTTTCTTTTTTTTTTTGTCCTGTTAACTGAATTCAGGACATGATTTGGGCTTCAGAATTAAACACATTTCAAATTTTCATTTTTCAAAAATGTTCAAGAAAACCCCCCAAGAGGGCAGGGTTGGAAATTTAGTCTAAATTATGCTTTGATTCAGCAGCCAGTAGCTAATTTGTGATTTTTTACAGTTACTATGTATTTATTATTATAGGTTATTGATACAGTTGTTATTGATAGGGTTATTAATAATGTATATTTGTTAATATAATCAACATGACAATGTTTGTAAAAAATGACTGTAAAAATTATTATGATTATTTACTTCAAAATGATGTCACTTCCTGAGTGCAATGAGTAAAATCATGTTCTAACGGGGTTCTTTACCAAAGTTTTTGCTAAATAAAAGTTAAAGAAACAATTATCATTAAAAAATTATGATAACTTTAATTATTTAAATGAAAGTAAATTAAATTAATAATGATATTAAGATAAATTTGAGAAGATAAATGCTAATTTCATTTGTGTCCTTTTAAATGTAGGATATAATAAATAAATAAATAAATACATACATAAATAAATACATAAATAAATACATAAATAAATAAATAATACATGCATACATACATACATAAATGCATGAATGCATAAATAAATAAATAAATTAATAAATTAATTAATTAATTAATAAATTAATTATTATTGGAGTACAGAGAAAATACTATTTCAGTTTTTCTACTACAAAATATCTTGTTTCAGTATGTTACTTGCCTTTTTTTATTATTATTTGTGAAATTTACTAGCAATTTCTGAGTGAAAATTTTAATTGTTAAATTGTTAAAGTAAATCCTACACCATTTTTTACTCAGTGCAGTTTATGGATTCCCTCATCTGAATTGTATATTATTTTTTATATTATATTTTATGTTATGAATTTAAATGTAAATGTCGTCATCTAATATCCCTGCTGAAAAGATCATCTTAGACCAGGTTAGTGCTGGTTTGGTGCTGTTTTAGCTGGTGGTCTACCATAGGCTGACTGACCAGCACGGTCTGTATGGTGAAAACGAGTTAGTTAAACTAGTTAGTTAACCGGCACACCATCGTCCGGAACATAAGCCGGTGAGCAGCTGATGGTGTTTCCAGCAGGAGTATCTTCATGTTTCTGCTGGTTTTGCTCAGGTGTGGGCTTCACGGTGATCCTGATCTCGCTGTACGTGGGCTTCTACTATAACGTGATCATCGCCTGGGCTCTCTTCTACCTGTTCTCCTGCTTCTCCGGGGAGCTGCCCTGGATCCACTGCAACAACACCTGGAACAGTCCCAACTGCTCCGACCTCAACTCCACGCTGCTCAACGACACGTACAAGACCACGCCGGCGCTCGAGTACTTTGAGTACGTACGCATGACCTTCACAAACACTGACCTGGGGCCGGCTGCATGAACTGTTTAGACTAGTCTTAAAAAGTTAGTCATCTATTTTTTTTTTTTGCTTCAAGACTTTTCAATTCAATTCAAGTTAGGGTTTATTATGAATCTTTGCAAAGCGCCTTTCCTAATAATGTGCTAGTTAGCAAGTTCCGCGGTTGAAGTTTACAGTCTGCTCGTCACCCCACGGAAGAGAGGGGTGGGGTCAGCAGAGCTCATTAGCATTTAAAGCGACATGGACTAGAACGGCTTGCTAAAAACAGCTGATTTTGACAGGGTAAAAAGGGTGTTTTTTACACTACCATTGAGAAATTTTATGTTAATAGTATGTTATAGACTTTTTGTTAAGACCCTAAAGAATCATATCAACTTGTGAACTTGTGGAAAATGGACATCCTATGACCCCTTTAAGGCCGATTTGCATTCCTGAGCGATCGGGGGGTGTGGCCCGATTTGAAGCTTGTCGCAAACTATTTTTTGTCCCAAAAATCCTCTATTGTGTGGTGTCATTACGATTATTTAACTGCTCCCGATTGAGACATGTTTGATATTTACGACTCTTGATCGGGCTGCCTCTGGGCTGGGCTCTGGGGATGGAGGAGGGTAAGCGCATGTCTGTGCGACAGACTATGGCAAGTCTTATATAAGAAACTTATATTTCTTATTAATTGTAGCGGGAGGAATTACGATCAGCAGAGTGTCAGCTGATGCTGCAGGCACGCCGTGAACTACGTTTGAGCTCCATTCGTCACTCAAACTAGATTTGGTCAAACTAGTTCTTAAGACACAGTCTTAACAAGTTTCTGCAACTGGCCCCTGAACCCGTGAGTGTAGAGTATGATCATGTGTTGATGTTGATCTGCAGGCGGGGCATGCTGCATCTTCACAAGAGCTCCGGCATCGATGACCTGGGTCTGCCGCGCTGGCAGCTCACCTCCTGCCTGGCTGTGGTCATCGTGGTGCTCTACTTCAGTCTGTGGAAGGGAGTCAAGACCTCAGGGAAGGTTAGAGATCTTACATGAACCTACGGTGGTTTGCTGGTCTTCTGCTCTCTCCAGACTGGTGTTTAATGTGTAAGCGCACAAAGCCCCTCTAAAACAAAGCAGACTGGCCAGACCAGGAGACCAGCAAACATCAACCAATCAGTGTTTCTGATGGATTAGATGTGCTTGCAAACTTTCACAACACCATTCTTCACAAATTTACTTTACAGCTGTCATGCAGCTGTTACGTTCTTGGAATATAAGTGAATGTTTAATTGTTTGGTAGTTTAAGCATCGTATAAATGTGATGCATTTATGTTGTACGGTGACATTCATGCTGCGTGTGTGTGTGTGTGTGTGTGCAGGTGGTGTGGATCACAGCCACGATGCCCTATGTCGTCCTCACCGTCCTGCTGCTGCGCGGAGTCACACTGCCTGGAGCCATCGATGGCATTAAAGCTTACCTGAGCGTGGACTTCCTGCGCCTGTGTGACGCTCAGGTACACACACACACACACACACACACACACACATACACACACACACACACACACACACACACACATACACACACACACGCACACACACACGTACACACACAGACACACACGCACACACACAACACACAGATGTTTTTTTATGGTTTATGGAGACATTACATAGGCGTAATGGTTTTTATACTGTACAAACTGTATTTTCTATCACCCCACACCCTACTGTATTTTTGGTCAAATAAATGCAGACTTCTTTCAAAAAAATAAAAAAAAGATCCCAAATTTATAAACAGTAGTGTATGTCATTTTATATAGACTTTATATAGAAAGATATTAATAGTAATTGTGTTAAAAGCCTAACCATAATACTAAAATAACACCTTTTTGGAATAAAACAATATCCAAATATCCAATCATTGATATTTCGATAATTTTAGCATTGAAGTGTCCCAAAGCTTTTGGATGTTCCCAAATACACTTCTGGTGTCTCTCTCTCTCTTTCACATATACACACACACACACACACACACACACCTGCTGAGATGTGTAACACTCTCCTTTAAATGCACATGCAGTATAATTGCATTAAAGAGCAGCAGAAGGTTTATCGCTCTTTGAAAGTCTGTGACATTTATATTAGAGTTTTGATCAGTCAGTCGCACAGATTCAGACTTGTGTGTGTGTGTGTGTGTGTTTATGAATCAATCTCATAAGAATCGCTCATGTCCTCGTGGTGCAGCGGAAGGGGAAGTTACTATCAGCTTTAAGTAAGTTTTTCCACGATCTGCGATTCTTTCCCGGAGCACCACTTGGCAAAGAGACCTCAAAGCGGCAATTTCAGAATTAGATTAGACACATGTGTGCAGCAGCAATTTGCAAAATTACCCTGTATTCACAAGTGTCTTTCATCTTTCTGCTGAATGAGTTTCCTGCAATTATCTCTAATGATAGCTGTTGTGCGGACCCTTTGTGCGGCGGCCGGGGCCGTTTGTGTC